GTGGCAGGTGGGCCCGGGAGAGCGCGTGGGGAGGGTCCTCTGATCTCTCCTGGCTGCAGAGGTGGGGCTGGGGTCCTCCATGGATGAGAGGCAACCTGACCTCTGTTTCAACAGCAGGCTCAGGAGGTCTCCTGCTGAGCCAATGCTGTTGGTGATTGGGTCAATGACAAATCTGACTATCTGTTCTTCCAGTGCTTTTCCCATCTACCATCCAGCTGTCCATCTTTTATTGATTAATCCACTTGTATATTCACTGATCAGTTCATCCATATTTCATCCGTGGACAGTTTCATTCATTTATTTGGATTAATTCATTCATGAGTTGATGCTATTCACAAGAAGAGTTGAATGGACTGTTGGTCACTGATGACTTGGCTCATTCATTCATTCACACGACACCCACCCATTTTTTTATTAACTGGGTTTCATTCCTTTAACCTTCTATCAACCATCTTCTTGTTCATCCCACATTCAGCCACCCATCCATCCATTCATTCCTTCACTTATCCACTTAATGATGATTCATTTATCATCCTTCATTTATTCCTTTGTTTTATCAGACATTCACTAATTTCTTCCATTCACATGGACATGGCCCCATAAATCCAACAATTATGTGATTATCAATTCATTAGGTTCATTGCTTTATTTGCCAAAGAATCCTTTCTTAATTGATTCCTTATTCCATCCATCTATCAGTTGATAAGCTGAATATACAATACATTCATTTGTTTGGTCATTTCATTAATTATCAATCTTTTCATTCAGGAATTGATCTGTTTTATTGATTTATGCATCCKTTTCTTTATCCACTTGCTCATAGATTAATCCATTGATCTATTTCACTGTGATTTTCCTGAGGATTGAATGTGGTGTTCATCTGTAATGAACACAYATGCACACAAATACTGGATCATTTTTTGTTCATCTTTGAGGGTGAAGTTTTGACAGGTTCTTAATGTGGAGTTATTAATCTAAAATTCCTTGTGAAGTTGTGGTGGATGTGGGGTGTGTGTGCACGTGTGTGCTTGTGTGCTTGCGTGCGTGCTGTGTGCCTGCAGGGTTTCTGTGCATATAGGAGACAGATCATTATGTTCATTGAATTTGAAAGGGTTAGAATTCTAATTCTTGTTGCCCTCCTCTCATCACCCCAGCTGATTGCTCTGAAGTATATTAATGATGTAAGCTTTTGCCCTAGGATTTTCCTGGCTCACTAACCCACTGAAAGCAGTGTCACTGGTGAAATGCTTATGTGAAAAGAGGCTCATTGTGCCCCTCTTTGGTGTAGAAAGGGTCCAAAAGGAGATTGAGCAGGTGATTGGCTCACACCGCCCACCAGCCCTTGATGACCACACCAAGATGCCTTACACGGAGGCCGTCATCCATGAGATTCAGAGATTCGCAGACCTCATTCCCGTTGGTGTGCCTCACGTAGTCACCAAGGACACTTATTTTCGAGGGTTCATCATCCCCAAGGTGAGAGCAGCGGGCTCCATGGCTCTGTGTGAGCGTGCTCTGTTTTTTTAGCCTACAACCTCAACCTCTTGTGGGCTTCTCCATAGGGCCTCCTTGTTTCCATTTTTGTTTTGTGTTATCAATTTGTTAATTGTATGTGAGAGCTAGGGAATGGCAATATTTAGAAAATGTTCTTACTACTGCATTATAGTTATACATAACAGTGGGGCTCATGATAACATAATCACTCACACATTGAGTATAATTTGGTATAACTTGGTCACATGGTGATTCCAATGCCCTTTGCTTCATTTTAACCTCTCCTCTTCCCTCCTCAGTTTCCATTCCTATACTCTACTGGTCTTCTTTATGTTTATTTGTGGTTGTTGTTCTTTTTTTTACTYTGGTGCTTTATAGATATACATAAAGGTGCAATTCAGTGTGGTATATTTGTGTACGTGCATAGCATRATTTTGTCAGTTTGATTCTGCAGTTCCTCCCTTTTCAGTTCCTCCTCCCTTCCCTTCAGTCTCTTTCCTCTACTCCACTGATCTGCTCTCTGTGTTCATGGGACATGCCCCCCCCCAACACACACTTATTTTCCTTCCTCTGCTCTAGCTTCTGCATATGAGAGAAAACATTCAACTTTCTGTTTCTGGCTTATTTCACTTAGCATGAATGTTCTCCAGTTGCATCCATTTACCAGCAAATCACACAATTTCATTATTATTTACGCTAAGTAAAACTTTATTGTGTATATATAAGATATTTTATTTATCCATTCATCTATTGATGAGCATCTGGGTTGGTTCCATAACACGGCTAGTGTGAATTATGCTGCTATAAGCATTGATGTGCCTGCATCACTATAGCATGCTGATTTTAGTTCTGTTGAATAAATACCAAAGAGTGGGATAACTTGGTCACATGGCGATTCCATTCCTAGTCTTTTGAGGAATCTCCATATTGCTTTCCAAAATGGTTGTAGTTTTCAGTCCCACCACAATATATGAGCATACTTTCCTCCCACATCCTGGCCAGCATTTATTATTACTTGTATTCTTGATGAAATGGAAGTGTCTCTTGATCTTTCAACCTTTCCTCAGAACACTGAAGTGTACCCCATCCTGAGCTCTGCTCTCCACGACCCGCATTACTTTRAAGAACCAGACACCTTCAACCCTGACCGCTTTCTGGATGCCAGCGGGGCACTGAAGAAGAACGAAGCTTTTATCCCCTTCTCRGCAGGTAGGCTGGACCTGGGATCCCTTTGCAGACACCAGGGGCAGGTCCCATCTGCTCCTTGAGACACACAATGATAGGTCTTTGTTTTGTGAGCACTCAGCATATTCCAGTTGCTTTACCTGTACTGTTCCATTGCATCTTCACTACCACCCTGCGAGGAGACTTGAGAAGTGACATTATGTCCCAAGGCTCGCCTTGATGAGCAGGACCTTGGGCAAATGTTGGAAAATCTCTAGACCTGAGCAAAGTCACCTTCTTTTAAAAATGGAGCAACAACTAAAAACTAATGCAGCGCTGGGTCCAGGGGACGAAAAATAATGCATCAAACAAATCACATAAAGACACAGATCCTGCCCAGGAAACTTGTAGTTCAGCAGCTGAGATAGACATTCATCAACCAGTCCCCAATAATCATCCAATTAAATGATCTAATGCCCCTCCTGGGCTAAGAACTTCCAGACACAAAGTGTACACTAACAGGGTCAAGTATTATCATTAATCAGGTATTGGAAGCACAAAATAGGAAATACTAATTTTGGTGGGTAGGTGAGGAAAAGCTCACTTGAGAAACTCATTTCCAGGCAGAGGCCTGGTGGGTGAGTGTTGATCAGCTACTGAGAAAGAAGGTTCCAGGTGGAGGCAACAGCAGGGCCGAGCCAGGTGGCCCATGAGAGCAACTGTAAGAAGCACTAGGTGTAGATTAGGAAAGGGGCTGAGGGTGAAGAGCTCAGATGGGTGGAGCCTCGGGGGCTGGAGAGGAGTTTGCTCTGATGCCTGAGCATGGGGCTGAGGAAAGTCTTGGACACACTTGTCCCTGTTCCCACTCTCTACTATGGCTTGGTAAAAGAAAATTTTAGACAGATTAAATTTTGTAGAATTAATTTTAGCTAAGTAACACTTCATGAATTGACCACATCCTGCAGTGGTGAAGATTTAGAGAGTTCCACCCAGCTGCATGGGCAGGTAGCGACATAGACAGAAAAAGGAACCAAATAGCAGAAATAGGTGGGTTAGTCTGGCTCCCTGCGCTGCCTTGGATAGATCAGAGCGGTTTGCACCCTGCAATTGGCTGAAGCACAGTGCTGGGATTGGCTGAGCCTTGGTTACTTGTTCCAAGAATGTGCTCTCATGTTCCATTGCCCTTTGGTTAATATGAGATTAGGGTGCAGTTTACTCAGTGGGGTTTAGATTAGATTTAACTATTTAACTTGAAAGCTCCACCCAAGGAAAACTCAACATCTAGGTTCCTCGTCTTTGGGGAGGAAGGAAGGCCCCAGAAACAAGTTCCTAATTATGAGTTTCATCAGTGACATCAGTGGCCCAGACTCTGGCTCAGCCCCCAGTTCTGTACAAAGTGGTCTTCTGGGTCCTTGTTCTGTCTTCAGTGAGAGCAGGGAACACATGGGGTGGTGGATGAAGGTCAGCTCCCCATCCAGTAGCCCTGTCCTAAGTTTAGGGAGAGACAGAGACTTAGAGGAGTAAGGACTGAAACAGAGCTAAGCAACGGAGAAGAGATGGGGACTAGACAGAGAGAGGGACAGAGACAGGGAGATCATGGCAGAGGAGACAGTCTGTTAGAGACAGAGAGTGAACCTGAGACCACAGAGGAAGCAGAGAGAGAGAGAAGTAGAAACAAAAAGGAGAGAAAGAATAGCAGCATCCGGAGGAGAAGAAGGCGGGGCAGTGGAGGAAGAAGAAGAAGAGACAGAAAAAAGAGAGACAGAAGTAGAGAGGTATATTTAGAGGGATATGAAAAACATGATAGGGACATAGAGGTATAAATAGATGAGAGAGGTAGAATAGGCAAGGAATTTAGATAGAAGAAAGTGAAAAGAGAAGAAAATATAAAAATGAACATAGAACAGTGCGTGTCATGTGTATTTAATGACAAGTATAGACTTTGCCTGAACAGAAAGAGGCACTGAACCAAAGAATGTGAGCATCAAGGAGATATCAGAAGGTGTACAAACAGAAAGACAGTTCTAGGAATGGGGAGGGTGTGCTGAGTGGGAGACAACAGGCCTTAGCTTGTTCTGGAAAAATCTGGGTCACCGAACCAGTTTCAGCAGAACCTGCCCAGAGATCCACCCTGAGTACTTCCAAGGTCCCATCTCCTGACATCTGGAAATGCCAAAAGAACACAGACCCCTTGCCAGATGCATCCAAGCAGGCACAACTTTGCAGCAGCTTGAAAGGTGCAGCGGATGCCTGGAATCCTGCCCTCCACTGGGCTTCCCAGGGCGGTCAGATTGCAGATGAGGAAGGACTGAAGCACCTGGAGGCGCTCTGCGTCCCTGCCTGACTTTTCAGGCCCTCTCTGTCCTCCTTCCTCTCTAAGCCTGTGGTCTGTAAACAAGAGGGGGTTTTCCAAACCCTTCTGAGTATCCATCTGAGGGAAGCCATAGAAACCCTGCTCATGGGCATTGGTCTCATTCACAACTTTATGAATAATTTTTTAAGGGAATTCTTGGAGCTGGTGGATTTCAGGTTAAAACTAGAAGAAAGCCCAGAGACAGACGTAACACAGAGTGCCAGAAACACACACAGCCATGTTCCTAGACGCAAGACTACTAATCTAGGATTCTTAACAGGAGCCACATGTTAGTCTAAGAGTTTCTACAAATACTAACTTTACCTGATAGGCACTGTTCTCATATGAGAAGTGAAAAACACTAAAAAATGTCAGAAATATATGCTCACTGAACCCACATACCTTGACACACCCAAGCACAGATTAGTCCTTATCTCCTATGTGGCCACTGAACCTTTGATAATCAAACAAAAACTACATTTTCTTTCCAACAAAATGAACATGGGATAAGATCTGTACCTCATTTCAGATTTGGGAACTCTTTCTAAAAGAGTCCACACTGAATATCAGGTTAAAGGTCAAGCCTATGGTAATCCATTGCAGTGCACAGGTGCGTGGGCGTTGGGGTGTGGTGGGTACACTGGTCCTGAGCCCACACAGGTGATCCTCTGTGCCCACAGGGAAGCGCRTCTGTCTTGGTGAAGGCATCGCTCGCAACGAACTGTTCCTYTTCTTCACCACCATCCTCCAGAACTTCTCTGTGGCCAGCCCCGTGGCTCCCCAGGACATCGACCTCACTCCTAAGGAGAGTGGTGTGGGCAGAGTAGCCCCAACCTACCAGATCCGCTTCCTTCCTCACTGAATGGGCTGATGGAAGAGGGCTGAAAGATTCCAGGGTTATTAAGTTCCCTTTTTTCTTTGAAAAAGTAGGTGATGAGTAGTTATCTTGAGCTCCTGGATTCTTGTTCTGAGGGCATAATATCCTGTTGTCACAAAAGAGGACTAATAGAAAAGAGAGCAGTCCAATAATATACCATGCAGAACATTTCAGTATGTTTCCAGGATTAAAGCCATTTAATTCTCAAAGTATTTGATCAGCTAAAGAGATAGGATCCAAAAGATCATCATATCTTGAATATGATGATGTAACTTCAAAAGATCCAAGCTGTTATTATTGTCCTGCCAAATACCCAATAGATCGTTTTTAACCTTCTCCCAATCCCATTGGGAAGCATTGTATTTGGCAGCAGTAACACACACGTATTTATAATCAGCTTGACATTAGAGCCTTTCTTGAACTTTAAAGTGGAAAGCTCATTACCAATATTTATGATAGTAGCTTTTAAAACATTTASTTTACTTTAAATCTTTTCATCAATGTTTATCTGATTCTGAAGAGCTTTAGAAGTGTTCTGAGCTAAATTATTAAGAAAATCTGCATGCTGAAAATATTTTGAGATATGGCCACCAAAACTGTGACTGCAGAAGCAATAAATGAAACTAAGGCAGCCTCTTCAAGTATGGTGAGTCCAGGAGCTGGCTTAGGTCTAGTTAACTGGGCATGTATTTGCTGTAAGACTTGAGAACCAGCATCAGTGTACCATGGCTCTGAAATATTAGCTGGTAATAAGACAAAAGAGGGCTGGTGAAGTATAAGTGTTCCCTTCCCTCTATTATATCTAGTGATACAATTAGTTAAATTACATTTATTACAGGATACAAGATATTTATTATTCTTTCTTTTGACTTTCACATTTCCAGTAATTAAAATGTAAGGAGATTGGACACAAGCTCTCAGGCCATAACAAGAACCTTCCTTACAATTTCTGCCTACAGAGTCAGGTAAAGTCTTGTTAGTAAATGTAAAAATTCTCAGGCTTCGATAAACATCTTTCTCAATGCCACTTTTGATGAAGGTGTTACTAACAAATTCTCCAGAGGTCATGGCAGCACCCTTGTGTAATTGTCTTTTATCAATTATAGACCAGTCTAAAATATACCCATTATTTCTAGACAATTTATGCTGTACTGGCAAGGTATTTACATAATCCATCTATTTAGGGAATGAGCCAAATTCTATTGCAGAACGGTAGGACAGTGAGGTATTGGTGGACATTCTCCTGAAATGACTGGCTTGTTATGAGAAAGTCCCATTTTAATAACTGTTCCAATATATGGCTTTGAGTCCCTGGGTACATTGTGATTAGCTTGATTAGTCCCCCCATTTGCTGTCTTTTCCTCAAAGGACACCTTTAGGCAGCCAGCATGTTTATCACAGTGCCAACACATAGGTAACCGAACACGATAGCCAGAATAATTAAATTCAGTCACATGGATGGGAGCAATATGGGTGCTGTAAATCTTCCCATCATATATGAGTCATTAGTAAATACTGGGATGGATTCTCCAGTTCACACCACTGRGTGTACTAAAGGTAGATCTTGAAAATATGTTCAATAAGTTTCTCCATGTGTCCCATTTTCCTGGCAGCTCAACAGAGCTAGCATGGCTACAAGCGTCATAGCTGGAGACTTAGTTCTTTCTTGCTGCTGAATCATCTGCTCAGCCTGCAGCATCAGATTCTTCCTCTACTTCCATGAAGTTGGCTTCATCGTTGGGTCTCTTKGGGCCATCTTCTTCCCCCTCTTCCTTTGTAGCTTCCTCTTCTTTCTGGGAGCCAGGGCTGACATCTCTGGATCGATCCTTAGTTGTTTGAACCTTGGCTCTAGGTCCTCYATGTCTGATGATGCATTCAGTTACCCAAGTAGGACGAAATGCACCTTCTGGGAAAATACAAGCATGACCTCTACCCCACATTATCACTGAATATGGTCCTTTCCATTGACTTGTTTGTAAATCTCTCCATCAAATTCAGCCTAAAGGGCTGTTGCAGTGGAAGATGTGTCACTCTGCTGCAGTGTGACCTTTAGAGTCACAATTTAGAAAATTTAAAATGAACAATGGGTAGACAATAGGGATGGGAGGGGAGGGGAGGGGGGGGATAGGGAGGGCAGCAGAATACAACTGACACTAGGATTGCTGTATGTATACACATGAATGTATAACCAATGTGATCCTGCAATCTGTACACGTGGAAAAACGAGAATTCATACCCTATTTGAATCAAATGTATGATATGTCAAGATCATTGTATTGTCTTGAACAACTAATAAAAAAAGAAATAAAAGGAATTAAAAAAAGTCACATAGACTGGGAATAAATATTTGCAAAACTTAAAAAAAAGATTATTTGGGAGGGTCTTATTTCCCCCTTACTGTTGTTGTTAATTGTAGCTTAATAGATAAATGAGCTCGTTCTTCAATAGCTTGACCTTGAGGATTGTAAGGCATACCTGTTTTATGGTCAATACGAAATTCTTGGCAAAATTGTTGAAAAGAAGAGCTTACATAAGCTGGTGCATTATCAGTTTTAATCTGCAAAGGACATCCTAATACTGCAAAAGCAGCTAGGCAATGAGAAATAACATGCTGAGTATTTTTTTTTACATGGGCTGTGGCAAAGTATCCACAATTACATGTACATAACATTGTTTGCCAAATTGAGGAATGTGAGTTACATCCATTTGCCATAACTGATTTGGTGGTAACCTGCGGGGATTAATCCCAGATGGTAAAGATGGAATGTGTATAACACATTTTGGGCATTGACATACAATTGATGAGCTTGCTCTCTAGTAATATTAAATTTATTATACAAACTAGAAGCATTTTGATGCTGCAAAGAATGAGAAGCGTGTGCAGTCACACAAAGACATTTGCTGACAAACAGCAGCAAGTTTATCAATCTTATCATTACCTGATGTTAAAGGCCCTGGGAGATTAGTGTGGGCCTGTATATGGCCTATAAAACATGGATGTTGATGCATCTGAATTTTCTTCTGTAAGTATGGAACAGGTTAAATAACTCTTGTGATGGTATGTATGTACCCAACAGTTGATGTTTCAATATTTTTTGTAACTCCACCTGCATATAAACTATCAAAATAAATATTAATTGGCTCATTTGCAAAATGAGTTAAAGCAAATGAGAGCCTGAAATTCTGTTCATTGTGCAGAAGTATATGATGTTTGTATTACCTCTTATGAGCATGGCTATAAAACCCAACTTGCCTGAGCTTGACCCATCAGTGAACACTGTTAGTGCCCCAATTATTGATTGAGCATGCACAATTTTTGGAAAAATAAATGCAGTTACCAAGGCAAATTGGATAATTTTATCATGAGGATAATGACTTTCTATTTGGCCAGGAAAATTAGCAAAAGCTACTTGCCAGTATTAGAAGTTTGGAAAAGCCAGCCATTCTGTTGAGTAGACAAGAGAACAACAAGGACACTAGGTTCTGATACAACCAAGTGTAAAACTCATGTTCTCCCTTTAATAACTAACTGAGCAACAAAATCATGGAAAGGATTAATGACTTTTGAGGAGAATGAGCTAAGTGGAGCCATTCAATAACTCCCAATGATGGCCATATTGCTTCTGTAGGAGCATGAGCAGTGGGAAACATTTACAGATACATAGGCTCTTTGGGGTTAATCCTAGTAAGCTGAGCATTTTTAATAGCAAATTCAGCCTTCCTTATGGCCATCCTTGTTTCTGTTGTGAGCTGATGAGAAGTTGGGGAAGGATCCCCCTGTAAGATCTGAAACAAAGGAGTCAAATCTGTAGTAGTTAGCTTTAAAGATGGTCTCAGCCAATTAATATCACCTAATAATTTTTGAAAATCACTAAGGGGGTGTAACCCTTTAACTCTTATTTGTAAGTTTTGAGGACTAACTGTGTGTCCTTCTATTATATTACCTACATACTGAAAAAGAGATGTCTTGCACATTTTCAGGTGCTATGCACAAACACATTGCAAGAAGTGAAGTTTCTAACTGGGCAAAAACTTTTAAAAGTACATCTCGACTAGCATAAGCTAAAAGTATGTCATCCATAAAATGAATAATATGTGCATCAGTGAATTTTCCCTTTACAGGCATGATAGCTTGTGCCAAAAAATTTTGACAAAGGGTTGGACTATTACACATACCCTGAGGTAACACCTTCCCACAATATCTCTTAACTGGCTTCTTAAAATTTATTGCTGGAACACTAAAAGCAAATTTTTCATAATCATCTGGATGCAAGGGATAGTGAAAAAACAATCTTAGATCTACCACCATTAGGTGATAATCAAAAGGAATTGCTGTAAGAGAAGGAAGCCCTGGATGCAAGGCTCTCATGGGCTCAATAACACAATTAATTGCCCTAATATCTTGAAGCAAYCTCCATTTAGCAGACTTCTTAATCACAAAATCTAGTGTATTCCAGGGACTAAAAGTAATTCAATATGGCCAGCCTGAAGTTGTTCCTAGACCAAAATATTGACTATTTTAAGTTTCTTCCCTGTTAAGGACCACTAACAAACCCAAATTGGCTCTTCTGTAATCCAGTTAATCTTTTCTTCTGTGTTTTGGGCTGGGAAGGAAATCAGTGCAAAACAGCCAAAAAGTTTGATTGGGTGAATTAACTTGTCTTCTCTGAGAAGACTGAGTTATAGGTAAATACCTTTATTGTGAATTCCCTTCAAATTCCCTAAGAGAAATAAATCCCTGATTAAATATCTGAGGTGACACAATAGAGTTAATTATTAATAACAAACCCAGGCTGCTCAGAATATCTTGACCCCATAAATAAAAGTATCCAAGACATAGGGTTTAACGATTCCAGAATTACCATCTTTATCCTCCCACTGAAGGTACTGAGCACTCTAAGCAGGTTGATAAATTTGGCCAATCCCTTCTAAGCTGGCAGGTGCAATGTGTAAGGGCCACTTCTTTGGCCAGTACTTGCTAGAAA